CCAGGACAGGCCGGCGCCCCCACGCCGACCCACCGGCCTCGTCACAGCCAGTCCCGCCCGCCGGCCGCCAGGCCGTCTCCGCACCACGTACTTTCCTTCCTGTTGGTCTTCGCCTCCAAGGCCTCGTTCACAGTCAGGGCCCAGTCGTCGTAGGACTCTGCCCGGAGCCTCAGCGCGTCCATCATGGGGTAGAGGTCGTCCAGGGTGTACCTGTACCTGCGGACGTGCGGGCGGGAGACAGTCAGGCGCTCGCACTCGCATCTCGGCCGGGACGGGCGTCGCGGAGCTCCCTGGCCGTCCCCACTCACCGCAGCTTGTACCGGCGCGGGGGGCAGGGGCACAGCTCCCGCGCGTGGTGCAGGCAGACAAGCCGGCCGGGCTGGCAGGCGCAGCACACGGCCGACATGAAGCACGTGGTCTTGCACTTCGCACACTGACGCTCGTCGTCGGGCAGCAGCTCGAAGTCCAGCCTCTCCGAGTCGACCACGCCCTGCAAGGGAGTCGCGTCAGACGCCCCAGGGCGAGGGCCCCACCCGCGCGAGCTGCCGTCGGGGCCGGGAGGGTCAACGCGCAGGGACCACCGCCCGGCAGGCGCAGGAAACAGAAGGGTCCGGGCCCAGACCACGCCCGTGGCAAACCCCTTTCCGACGACGGCACGGCCACGCCAGCCAACAGGGCGTCTCCTCAGGAAACGGCACCGGACCACAGGCGTCCGCACGCGGCGCCCGGCCCCCCACCGCACCTCGCACCAGGCGCCGTCTGAGGCGAAGGCTTATTGTAAAACCCGGAACCGGGAACTCTGAGGCACGGAGGAAGCCTCGTGACTGGCGGTTAGGCGAAGGTTTCTCAAGGGCACCAAAAAAAAAAACCCATAAAAACCCTGATACACTGGACTTGGCTGAAACGAAGAGCCTGCTGTTGGAAAGACGCTGCTGAGGGAAGGAACGTCAGGCATCGGCCGCAAGGACGTGCGTGCAGAACACCCACCTGACGGAAGACTCAGAGTAGAGAGACACCTTACGCCCACCCCACCAGCGGGCAAGGCAGCCGCAGGCGCTTCCCCGGACGCACGCACAGGCGGCAGGTCACAGCGCAGTGACCCCTCCGGCATCGTCAGCCGCGAGAGAAACGGTCGTGAAGGGCGTCAGAGCGTCACTAACAAGACCCCGTCACACGGCCCGGTCCCGGACACCTTACCAGTTTCCGGACCGTTTCTCGCAGCGTCCTCTCGTCCTCGATCATGACAGCCATGTCCTTCTGCACGGTGGAGGCCACCACCACGTCCAGGACGTCAGCCTTGGAGGCCATCCTGCAGATCATCTCGTCGTGGGAAAAGACGCAGTAGCGGTGAAGCAGGCGGTAATGCTCCACGCACTGGCGGCCCAGTGGCAGCTGTGCGGAGACGGGAAACTCATGAGCCACCCTCCTCCTTCCAGGCGCAAGGCCACGTTCTGGGCCATACACGACCCCAACCAGCCCTGAAAGCCCCCGGCCTCTTTAAATCCTCATCTCCAAGACACGACATGCTCGGTGCCTTAACTAAACAGTCGTTTAAAAAACCCCAATGTGTTACCAGTGACGACTCTCCACAGCAATGCAGACGCTAACTGGAAGTGTGAATTTATACATTTCCTGAAGCCACTGTGCTCAACTGGGCGTTAACCTACCTCAGGAAACAAAAATGCTCCAAAACTACAAAATAACCAGACCCAGGTAGTCCCATTATTCAGAAAAACACCGCAGCTCTAATTCTTTCGATTTAACATCACACTTAAACTGGACAGTTCTTTTCAGGTAAATGAAAAAAACAGTGACATAAAAATCTACAAAGTAATGAAAACCAAACGTGTCCCTAAAAATTGCTGTGCTGTGGACACCGAAGGGAGTGTAAGGAACAGTCTTGAGACTGGAACTGTCATCAGTTTGCAACGAGATACTGAGCTTCAGCCCAAAGGTAAATCAAGACTCTTTATCGTCGAGTCTTTTATAGAAGAAAAAAACGCCCATTGAACCAAGCAGTGTGCTTAGTACAGGCAGGACCTACAACACGGGGCGAGGGCTGGATCTCACGGAGGGTCAACAATTTCCAGGCCGGCCCTTCGAGTGGCAGCAGGTTTAAGCAACTACACACAGGACAGTCTGTAAGGCGGTCTACCCAACGCCGCAGGGAGACTCAGAGTCACAATCCATACCCAGTCCACAGTGCAGAAGTTCACGGCCTCAGCAAAATTAAAGCCTTGGTTGAAGCCACTGTGGTAGGCTCGCGGAAATGTAATCACAAACTCCCCAGCACACTGGTTAGTCCGGTAAACCTAAGGGGACAAATTGGGGATTTTTAGTGACATTCTCACGAAAGACAATCTGGACGTCAACTATCAGATGATTTTCCAGAAGGGGTAGCTTTCCTCCAATTAAAAGTGAGCCAGAAAAACACAAGCCACTACGGGGGACACAAGATGTAGCAGTGGCCCCGCCACCAGGGTTGATGAGGATCTGAAAGGAAAACCTGGCTCACACCACAAACACCTTGGACACATCCAGGGTCAGGACACATCTTTCGAAATGTAGTCACGCTTAAGACTATTCTATATTATTAAACCAAAATAGGGTCTCCACCAACGAAAGACACTCCACTCTCCTCCAACGGCCGCACCACACAGGCTCTCCTTGGCCGGGGCTCAGCCTTCCCTCCCACCACCCTCACCCAGGAGAACACCTGTATTGTTCTAGAAACACAAACACTCAGACTGCATCTGTTAATACAGAACAACGTTAGATGTGTTCCCAATTCTGTCTCTCCACCAGCAGTTCTCCAAAATGCAGTTCGCAGACCAACAGCACGACACCCGACTGGGAACTTGTTGGAAATGCAAACTCTCGAGCTCCACCCAAACCGAAATAACAGGAAACGGGGCAGAGTGAGGCTCGGCCATGTGTTGCAAACGCTCTTCAGGTTCTGATCTTGGCCAGCGTGTGAAGAACACCCGGCTCCTTCTGCAGGGACTTTCTCCTCCAGCTCTGCCTTCTCTATTCCTTATGTGCATCTCCCCGGACATAGTCCAAGTCCTAGTTCAAATGTCACTTGGAGGCCTCTCTCACTCCCCACAGCTCACAGGTCAGCCTCCTCCTGACATCACTGTCAGACCCCACCACCCTTCCGTCACCTGCCTTTTCTCCTAAAGCGAGTCTCCCATACATGAGAGCATTCATCTGAAAGTCCAGGAACTAACCCAACATGGTTTGCTCAATTACTACAGAGCCAGGGCCAGAGATCTCGTTTAGGGCAAGCTACTCATAACAAATCAGAAATATCCATCAATATGGGGGGGATCAATGTGGAAAATACCAACAGTGGTAGTTACGGGTCATTATTTTCTAAGCTATGGCCCATAAACATTTTATGATCCCTCAAATAAAGTCCTTTCCATCTGCCCCCATTGACTGACCTATGAACCCAAAGCATAAAATTTAGGGCACAGCAAGATCAGTAATTCACTTAACACTGGAAATGAATCGTTCACATCTGACTTAGCGAAGACGGGCTGTTAGCTTCATGTGCCTCCCAGGCATCTCCCGAGTGCTCCCCAGCCAGTGGGCAGCAGGTGTTGCTTTCGACACCTCAGAGGGAACCCACCCCACAGCCCCTTCTGTCTAGAGAGGGACCCTGAATGCCAAGCTCAAGACCTTGAAATAAACTTTCTTTTAAAATAAGCTTAGCCCTGGCCCACTGGTGCGGCTCAGTGGGTTGGAGCACTGTTCCATGGACCAAAGGGTTGTGGGTTCGATCCCTGGTCAGGGCAAAGGCAGAAGGCAGCCAATTGATAAGTTTCTCTCTCTAACCAATTAAAAAAAATAAATACAGTAAGCTTAATTAGGAGTGGGAGGTTAATATAGCCAAAACCTACCAATATGTCGCTTCAGTTCATCATTCAAACTAAATTGAGATCCTGTAGGTTCAATAAATTATTTTTAGAGCAGGGACAGAATACGAAGGGTCCTGACATTAGAGTTTAGACCTAACTATAACAGAGCCTAGCCCCTTTCACGGTCATGTACACTGACAAGGAACACGCAGCTTTTAAGGTTTTTGTTTAGTTGCAGAGAAGGAATGAGTTGCAAATGGAAATCAGTGTAGAGAGTATTGGGCGGTGACAGCTGTGTGACCTGTGAGGTGAGGCTGCTCAGCAGTCTGGTTATTAGCTGCAAAAAATTAGTTTTTATAGTGTCCGAGGACCCCCAATGCAGTACAGTACCAACCACACCAAACGGCTGTTTCTCCTGCCAGGTTATGCTACGGAACACACGACCCGGTCCGCTCTGTGAACAGAAGCCCAGAAAGAGGACGACCGGCTGAGACCTACAGGCACTTCGTGGGTCATCAGGGTGTTGGGGTTCATGATGGTCACGAGCTGGTGCAGGAGGTCCGGCTGGGACACAAAGAGCTCTGGGGCTAGCTTCTTCATGACGTTCTCCAGCTGCTCGGCCGCATACCCTGGGACCCCATACCAGGTTTTGGGCTCACCCCTGGAGATAGATTATAAAAATGAATCAACCTCAAAAAATATATGTAAACATGAAATTTCAGTTGCCTCTTCAAAATCACACACATTCGCACAATCAACCTGCAACGTCAACACAACACAACAGCCAACCAGTTCACACGCCCTGACCCGCTGCGAGCAGCCCCACCCCGAGGAGCCGGGGCCTGAACGAGTGCCAAGCATCTTCCCTCAGGCACCAGGTTTACACATGGGACTTTCCCTCTGGGGTCCGTCCTCCCCCCACTTCTGTCTGATCCTTTAGGAAAGGCAGGTATCTGGACTCTCTGAGCTCTAGGGCACATGGTTACAGCTGCCCACGCCGACAGGGCAGCTCTCCACCCTCCTGACAGGCGCCGAAATCAAACACGAGTCAGACAACTAGCATTTCTGAAGAGCTCTTACTCTCCAAAGCACCTTAAACTGTCAACCAATTAACCTGTAACATCCCTGAGACGTACGGAAAATACGACCCTCATTCTAAGGCTGGGAGCAACTGCCCAGGGGAGCAGAGCTGACACTGCAAATACGTGCCGACTCCCTCTCCCTGTGGTACGTCCTTCGATTCCTGGTGTCAGGATTTAAGTGAGTTACAGATCTTCAAATATTTTTGTCCTTAGAAAAGCAGGGAAATGGTGAGGGAGGGGCGTGGGAGAGACAGATGTGGGAAAATGGCTTTGAAAAATTTTAAAGTTGAAAAGTCCAAATACCTGCCCCAGGTCCCCCAGCTTCACCCCTACTAAGAAGGGGCCCAACGGACTGTGTGGTGAGGTCAGAACTCAGCACAACAAACAGCAGCGGGAAGTCCCGAGAACCTGGAGGACACCGTGGCACCCACACCCCACTCCTCAGAGGGCAGCTGGGCCACCCACGGGGGTTTCCACAGTAAAACCAGGGCTTGTGCTGTAATGTTTCTGCGAGTAGACGTCTTTGACGACTAGATAAAAGCTGTCTACCCTCCCCCCAGAAACATGTTATACTTGAAAATAGTGTGGCCCGGCTGGCGTGGCCCAGCGGCTGAGCATCGACCTGGGGTCCAGGAGATTGGGGTTCGACTCCCGGTCAGGGCACATGCCTGGGCTGCGGGCTCGATTCCTGGTCGGGGGCGTGCAGGAGGCGGCCCATCAATGACTCTCTCGTCATTGATGTTTTTCTCTCTCTCTCTCTCTGAAATCAACAAAGACATATTTAGGAAAAAAAGAAAAACAAAATAGTGTGTGTGCAGTTTCGGGGGTTTGTGGTTTTCCTAGAAATGCTCAGAACCGCTGCCTTAACTTGTTAGGGTGCCTGTTCCAACAGAAGTGAAAGACCTTCAGGGGAGAAAACCAGGTCACCACCCTTGAGCGTCGTCAGCGAGGACACCTGGGGAGGGTTCCGGTCCCACCGCGAGGCCGCAGGCGCCTTACCAGTGCAGGTAGTTAATGGAGTAGCTCCAATGGTCCTCGATGTGCCAGCAGAAAGAGGAGAAGCACATCCCCACGTACAGCCAGGGCAGCTTCATGCCGCAGATGTCGGCGGTGATGTGCGCCAGGACGGACTGCTCCATCACGGGCATGTTGTTCAGGTTCCAGCCGCTGTCCAGATAGTCCTAAAGGAACCGAGATAAAGGAAGTGTAACAGTTCAGCGCTCCCGCGCTAACGTTTCAGGATTCTGCTTGTTTCAAAACGATGGGTGGAAACTGCCTCCTTCTGAATAAAAACGCCGGGAGAGGCACTATGCTGACGTCTCGGAGCCACAGACTCTTGCCTCCCTCAGCTGCACACAAACGCACTCGCACAGCACGGATTTTTCTATCAACCCCGTTTTTATTTGGCTACAGAAGAGCACAGACCACGAGTCGGTGCATGTGGAGCCGCCAGGGCGGCGCTGCTGGGGGCTGGGGCGGGACTGGCTGTGCTGAGATGGGAAGATACGGGAGCTTCTGGGGGGACGTGGGAGGCCCCGTTTCTCCTATTCCGGTGACGGGTGTATCCAGTGTGTGAAAACCCACCAAGCTGCACACATACGGTTGTGTACTTGTCTGTGCATTTGTTAGATTTTGAGGACGTTTATCCCCCAAAATGTGACTTCTCACTAGGACAGGAACAGGATCCTGGCCAGGACTTTGCTGCTGTGGGAACGGACTCCAACCTTAAAGCTCAAAGACACGCAGGTCTGGTCCCCGCCCTTCAGATTCCCCTCAGAGAAACCAGTCACAGAACCCGAAGGCCAAGGGGTAAGTTTCCTCTGTCGTCACAGTACAGCGGCAGAGTCGGGACTAGAATTCTCCTGAAGTCATTAAAAATCTAGTAACTTAAGGTTTTTCTGAAAGTAATCATGAATCACTTCACAGCAACCAGTGGAAACTGAATTATAACACGAATTCCAAGCTACATCTATTTTTTGCAGTGAAGTTGCTTCTAACCCAGTATTATGCCCATTAGGTCAAGGACATGCTCAACCATCAGGTGCCCCACAGGCAGGTGCCTCCCGCCGGCACCTACCTCGTCCTCAGGGGAAAGCTTGGCCTTCCCGTCTCGGACAGGGAAGCCGCTGCCAAACTCCTTCGAGGCAATATCAGCGCCATACTCGACCGTCACGTCTTCTTCAATAGTGCTGACCAGTCGCCAAAACTCTTTCTCAACCAGTTCCGTGGGAACCATCTGGAAACAAAACCATAAGCAAGAGAAAAAAATGCATTTTCTCAGACACAAGGTGCCTGGGACCAATCTGACCAGATCAGCTAAGTGCTGGGGTCACAGGACGGCACCCTGAGGGGCGCTGCTTCTGTTACGTTCCACAACTGACTCCACACAGTTCAGACAGGAACGCCATCTCCCAAACGGTACTTAATAACTGAGAGGGTAACAACTAAGGATTCATGTTTCTCTATTGCAAACCTGGCTGCTCCTGTAAGAGGGATTCAAGAAAAGCAATACGCTGACATCTAAGAACTGGGGATGTTTTTCTGTTCTGAGAAATGAAACGTACAGTCGTCTATGCCTGAATGATGCTTTACACTCCGAGTCCAGCCTCTCAGTCCTTCCGGGACACCAGGTGAGCGCCACGGTCAGGCCCGAGGGCAGGACAGCGTGCCGACCGTGAGCAAGAGCAGCGACTTGCACCGGCAGACAGAGCCACCGGACGCCTGCCTGGGACCCGCCATTAATCTGACGTGAGTCCAGACGCAAGTCACTTAAATGTCCATCCCTCAAAGTCCTCATCTCTCTTTTTAAAAAATGTGTCTTTATTGACTTCAGAGAGAAGAAGGGAGAGAGAGAGAAACATCCATGATGAGAGTCAGTGATCGGCTGCCTCCTGCACGCCCCCGTGGGGATCGAGCCTGCAACCAGGGACACGGTGGGACACAGTGCACGTGAAGTCACACGGAGCACAATTTGGATTCAAAATTCCATTGAATAAACATTTAAGGTAACTTAATAGCTAATGTTAGTGATGTTCGGGGAAAACAGGTTCACCCAGACATTCCTAGGGACCCATAAATGACACAGCGACAGGGGCGGGGAAAACGGTAATTACTCTCATCTGACTTCAGTCGTCATCCAAGAATATAATCCAACTAAAAAGATCACTATGCAGGAAGTGTCCACTGCAGCACTTGCTAGTGGTGAGAAAAAACACAGCTTAAGCACCTAGAGCCATGTAGAAAACCACTTGATTCCGGGGTGCCCGGGAGCGAACGCCAAGCGCTGGAAGCAGCACCCGGGCTTCTCAGTCGGCAGAATTTAAGCACCTTCTGACGTAACAGTACGTGAGTTCCCAAAGCACAGCACACGGAGTGCACACGGCGTCATGCCGGAAATTCTGTGACGTTTTAATTACAGTTGTTTAGTGAAAGGATCACTGGAGATCCCGTGTGTTGGTATTGTCACTGTTGCTGTGCAATTTGTGTGGAAGAAATAAAATGAAACATTGTGGAATTTTAACACCACTAAAGAAATTAAAGGTTTCGCTGTGCAGGATACGATCAGAGGTAAGTGCCATCTCAAATTTGTCTCCAGAACCCCCTTTTCCAAAAGTTATTAAAATTAAATCAAAGCGGTGTCTTTTACATACGTGGACGGGCATGTTGAAGTAATCGGACTTGAACGCATCTGCCATTTCCCCAAAGGTTCGGAGAGTATAGTCCCTGGCTGCTTGTTCAAAGCCAAACGCTTCCTGCGGCTTACTACACTCCTGCCCGAGACAGAGAGACAGTCTTGTTTGTACAGATCTGTGGGTGGTAATCACCTCCATCCACACCAGCGTACGTGGAGTTTTACACACACACACACACGGAAACGCAGGTTCCCGCGCTTGCTCGTCAGAGTAACTCCACTCACTCAAACAGAAAAGGTCTGGGTGGGCACACACCAGGACGTCCACAGCAATCATCTGTGGGTCATGAAATCCCACCCGTACTTTCTGCAGAGAGCACACGCCGTTCTTTTCAATGAAAAAAAACGCGAGTGGCTATTGAAACGCTTTCTGCCCCGTGGGCCCCGCACGGCTGCGACCCCTCACGCCGCCCGCCGGGGGCTCTCACCTGAGCCAGGCACTTGGGGCACCTCCAGTCCCCCTTGGGCACGTCGTGCAGGGGCGGCACCAGGCAGAAGGTGTGGTAGCTGTCGTCACAGCCGTCGCACAGGAGCAGCCGGTCCTCGTCGCTGCCGCTCCCGCACAGCAGGCAGACGTACAGGTCCACCTGCGGCCAACAGGGCAGCGAAGGGCTCAGCGCCCGCCCAGTCTCAGCCGCCGAGGACCAACCGGTCGGGGCACAACCAGCCTCCCGCCTGCGACAAACGACACCCCCCGCTTGGTGCGCAGAGCACCCCCTGCCGCTCTGCCCCCCGGCCCCGTTCCTCGCTCTCCTTTCCTGCCGGGCGGAGGCTGGGAAACACCGGCTCCCGCTCGGGCGCAGCCTCGGCTCCGCGCATCCCCGCTCACTGCGCTCCAGGAGAACAGCCTGGCGCCACCGTCCCCTCCCTCCTCAGGCCCCCACGCGGCCCCTCATTTACAAACAGATGCTACCGACGGACTCGAAAAGGCCGCCGAGCCGGCGTCCCCCGCAAAGCTCGGAAGTGTAAACGGGGGGGAGGGGAGGACATCGACTCACAGCACTCGTGGTCTTTTTCGGCCGACTCCTGGGCTTCTCCCTCTCGCCTCCTGCCGCGAGCTCGTTCTTCCCAGCAGGCTCTTGCTTGACGCTGGTTTTCGTTTCTTTCTCTGCAAGAGGCAGTTCACGGTCGTGCTCGCTGTGCTGCGCTCAGCCCCCTTCGCTAACGCAATTCCGTGTTTCTTTTCACTTCAGCAGCAGCAACCAGTGTCGCTACGTTCAACGGGTTGTAATAAAATGCAAACTCTCCCCATTTAAAATCCAAGGTGCAGACACACCTCTGGAGACGTGACTCAGGTGTGTAACCTCTTAAAACAACATACACTGGGGGTGGGAGGCAGGGGAGGGAAGGGGAGATAAATGGTGACGGAAGAGACCTGAGGCTGGGGTGGTGAACACACAGTGTAACACACACGACGCACCCCAGCATTGTGCCCCTGAAACCTACATAATCTTATTAACCAACGTCACTCCAACAAACTCAATAAAAAATTAAAAAACAAAACAAAAAACACACCGAGGCAAGCAAGTCTCGGCCCCGACCGAAGGCTGAGCCTCACCAGCTGACGTCCTCGGTCACTGCCCTCGCCAGCCCCTCCAGCTTCCTGGTCCCAAAGACTCCTGGCCAAAACGCTGGCCGCCAGTGAAGAACCATCCCATGCAGGCACTGGTTAACTGCTTCCCATGAATTATCTAATCTTTTGCAACAAACCCGTTTCAAAGATAAGAAAACGGACATAAAGGTATCTCTAAGGTCATACAACGGGTCGGTGGTCGAGCCAGGACTCAGATCTGCTTTTAAAACCACCTCCTGCTACCTTGAGCCTCCCGGGGCTCGCTCACCATCAGAAGAGCCACTGTCGGCAGCTGTCTCCGCAGCGCCTGCCTGGGCAGGGCCCACGACTGCTCTTCAGAGTCCCCGAACTACACCTCGCCGTGACTGGCGCCAAGCAGAGGCCAGGCAAGCAATTTCCAACTGAAGCTCAGATTCGGAAAGCAGGCCCGCCCCCCGACCTGCAGTCACGGGCACCGCTGCTGCATCACGGCTCCAGTCAGGGCCTGACCCGTCCTTCACGTGGCAACCAGGGACGGCTGAGAGACTCAGCCGCACTTCCGATGTGCCTGCCCTCCGTCTCCCTCTCCTGCGGGTCCCTTGACCACGACAAGGCCATTAATACACAAAGGTTTTACTTCTCAAGGCCTGACTGATGATTACTAGGTAACAGCTTCTCCAATGTTTTCTTAACCAATAAACAAATTCAGTGTTTCTATTTATTTCCTTTTTACTACTCTATTCATGATAAATTTTCTTACCATTTTCACACTTTGGAGTTGGACAGCCCATTCGACGTCTCAGATTATGAGTTCTGGCTTCTGTTGTCTCTTCTGGTTCTATTTTAATATTCATGGCCTTTAAAAAAAGTTGTCATATACATAAATATTTCCTTTAAAAACAAATTAATCTTCCAAAATCCAGCTGGAATCTCAAGGTGACTATAATCCTATAAACTGTCTCTACCAATGGGGCATTCAAAACATCCTCAGATTACTACTGTTTAGAAATAGGCAAGGGATCTTAGAAGTTATGAGAGTATTTGCCCTCTGCTTCAGCGGGTCAGAAGTAGGGAAGGGTGAAAGGATCAGCAACAAATTGTGAGAAATCTCACTGCCCACTGGGAGCAGCGCGTTTTCCCAGGTCCTGCCTCAGCAGCTACGCACACCCCATAATTCCACAAGCCTGTAAGAATTTCCCAAGTCTGCCCGTATTTATGGGAAACTCAGCTTTCCTATTATTTCTTGTAATAAACTTACTATACGGCGCTCTTCTAAGGTTGCTAGCCTGTTCAGGGTTCCCTTATCACTGAGGGTGATTACGCCAGTCTCAGTTTCCATTGTTTTTTACTTATAGTTGACATCCATCCATCGTTTCCTGAAGCGCTAATACTTATGGATAAAGCAGAACAATGTCTGTGGCCTCGATGCCGACGTGTTTGGAACTGCACTCGCTCACCCTCCCGCACCCCCTCGTGTGCACTCAGGGTGTCCACGGCCACAGAACTCTTCCAGGGCGGTGACCCCCACTCGGTGTCATTAAGCAGACCTAGGACTAGGGTGTGTCTTAAATATTAAAAATCAAGATGTGCTCAGCCCAGCCAGCGTGGCACAGCAGCTGAGCATCCACCTGGGATCCAGGAGACTGAGGTTCGATCCCCAGTCGGGACAGACGCCTGGGTTGTGGCTGGATCCCCAGTGGTCGGGGTGCAGGAGGCAGCCGGTCAATGACTCTCATCACTGAAGCTTCTCTCTCCCCCTCTCCCTTCTTTTATCTGAAATCAATAAAAACTTTTTTTCTTTTTAAAGTTCTTTTCAGCAAAAATCTCCCAGTTTCACATCTCCTAGCCTTACTCCCCAATAACCACAGTCCAACTTCATGAGGTTGGCAGGCCAACCAAACACCATCACGAGAGCACCTATTCCTCCTGGGCTTTGTTAACAACTAAGCAGCTGCTGGTCCAGGCGCCCTGACAGCACAATCTCCCAACTATAAAAGCTAGAACACGCACAGCACCTCCGCGAGGCTGACGAGGCTGGAAACCACAGCACGTGGGGGACAGACGCCCAGTGTCATAGACGCAGGCGCTGGGGCGCTCACCTCTGCTCTCATGCGTTTTGCCCGACGGGCTGGGGGGCATGTTTCCAGGGGCTGCACAGACTGCCTCTGGGGAATGTCGTGGGGTTTGTACTCTTTGTCCTTTGTGTCTGTGGCCAGGTTTGGTTTCTGCAGACACTGATAATGAAACACAATTGTACTGATGAGTTTCCCCTCCTTTTTATCTTAGACAATTTCACTAGACTTTTAAAAGTTATATTTAATATTTATGTACATATGCAGCAGGTGTGCAATTTTAAAAATCTAAATAAATGCAAAGGTAAGTCTGCAGTCGCCAATCACACACTCAATACTGCAGCTTTTCTTCCAATATTGAGCCCTGTCCCCTCGGCCGTGCCCAGTAGCCACGGGAAGCGCAGGGGACACATGTAGGGTGTTTGTTCATAGGAAGGCCACGAGCTTTGTGCCCCCGTCACAATGACCCTGAATTGCTGTTGGGTATGTTGTACACCGAGAAGCCATTTCTTCAGGCCCCCTGCTCTGAGCATACCCATATGTTTGTTTTAACAAGTGAATGGTATTACTAGTTGCTAATGTCATCGAGTTACAAGAGGCCACTGCGGGCTGAAGGCATTCCCAATAAGCCAGCTGCAATCATCCCTGCTTGAAAAACTGTCAATTAACCGAAGGCCCAAGCTGTCAGGCCTGTTAGAAGTTCCAAAACTAACTTTCCATCCTGAAAATAACTCATTTTTAAAGTGTTCAGACTGAAAGAGGGTGTTTAATGTCAGTACAACACAGTGACATCAAAATCTAGTATGAATTTCCACTCCTTCGTAAACGAGCCCACAAACATCGAAGAAGCATTTTTAAAAGCAGGTTCCAAAGTGTAACCACTGAGGGTGTATGACATGCGTCCTCTGCACCTGGAGTAAGACACGGGAGGAACAGCCTCCTGGGACTCTGCTCCAGGGGCACGTCGCTGCCATCCAGCCTCACCGGCAAAGCCGCTCCTTCCTCCCGGAGAACAGGACGGCAGGAGGACAACCACCGCCAGCAGCCATCTCACAAAATCTGTTCCTTAAGAGCCCATGTATTTTCACTGCTGAGTAACACTCCGTCGTCTGGATGCTCCAGGGTATTTATCCACTCACTCACTGAAGGACATCTTGGTTGCTCTCAAGTTTTGGCAATTACGAATAATGCTGTACAAACATCCGTGTACAGGTTTTTGTGTGGACCTAAGTTTCCAACTCCTTTGGGTAAACACCTGCCACGTACCAGGGGTGAGAGTCCCGCTCCCCGGAGCCTTGCCAGAACTCGGTACCAATGCTCTGGACCTGGATCGTTTCTGATGGGTGTGCAGCAGTATCTCATAGTTATTTTTCATTCTTTTAAAAAATATATGGATTCCAATTCTCCTTTCCTCTAAGAATTACTTTCAAAAATCAGAAATGAACATAAAATTTTATGTACAGGCCTGGCCGGTGTGGCTCGGTTGGTTGTGGGTCGTCCTATGCTCCTAAAGAGGCACAAAGGTTCCACACACAATGTTCTAAACAGTTTCACCCACAGGTTCACGACATTCACACAACGTACATTTAAAACACACACTTTCTGACTATTAGATGGGTCGTGTTCTTCTAGACTGAAGAGCAAGCTCACCTAGAACCAAGGAGGCAGGGGCACGACAGCCACTGGGTCTGCACCGAGACAGCTCTGACTGGCGCTGACCCGACCCTGCATTACCACCTTCCTCCCTCCACAGCACAGCAGCAGCTCTGAAAATTATAGGGCTCTCTGCTCCAAGAGTAACCCGAAGGCAGTAAACGGGTTAGGACCCTGCTTTTCCACCAGAGTCTTGAACTAAGCGGGGTGTTTTTATACTATTGTTTACTTCAATCAGAACAAAAGTTCTTACCTGAATAATTTTGCAAATACCATCTTTATAAGGAAACAAGCATGGCTACACAGGAACTATTTGAAGGTGGACCCATCAGGCACCCAGGATTAGTGGGTCCCTACCCTTTACCTGAAATCACCCTGGAGACCTCAGCTGGCAAAACAGGCGGGTCGGCAAGTTATTTCACAGGCTGCACTTTTGTGTAACAACCAGGAAACACTGTAAGTAGCAGGTGGGTACAAAGCATAACCACCTCCACCTTGTAAGAAGAGATACACAGTGAAGTTAACACCGGCTGCAGCCTTGACAGCGAAAGGGTATTATGTCTGCGACAACCTTCCTCATCCCAAAAACAAATTTCTAAATACGGTTGCTCTCAAAACAGAACAAAATCACTGCAAGAGTAATTCACAAAACAACGTCTTCCGCACTAATCAAGGCCTTTTCACTCCCCGGGGACAGCGACCAAGCAGCAGCGACGTGAAGCAGGCTGCGGCCAGCCCGATACTCACCCTCAAACTGTCCCCAGACAAGAACAGGTTGTAGGGGTGGAGGATCCGCTCGTAGTGCCCTCTGATGTGCGAGCCCACAGCTTTGCCAGGGGCAAACCCCATCTTGGTGGCGATTTTGGTCCATTTTCTGTCCTTGCAAACAACTGCAAATCCACCTTCTTCTGCAACTAACTGTTAAATGAAACGGCAAGACATTAGAAAGCCCTCACGGAAACCACTCCTGATCCCTCGTGCTAGGGAGGACGCCAAAGACCAATGTTCTTAGCTATGGTGATCTTTTAAAATTTTCCTAAGCCATTTTCTAACCCAAAAGAAAATACATATACACTATCATTTTTTCTGGAAGTTTTTTTAATCCTCATAGAGGATATTTCTTTTAATTGATATTTTTTTGGGAGAGGGAGAGATGTGAGAGAGAAACGTCCATCGGCTGACTCCTATACACACCCCAACGGGAACCTAACAACCCGCAGCCTTTAGGTGAACAGACAACGCTCTGACCAACCGAGCTGCCAGCCAGGGCTACACTATTATTTTTAAGCTAGAAAATGAAAACATCACTTCTGACAGCATAGTCCATAAACATTTTGTACCCCCCAAAAAGCTACCTCCCCCCGCAAAGCAGTCAGCATTTTCTGGGAGGAAGAACTAGGTTAACAAATCTCTTTATAAAGAAAGGGTCTAACTCAGTAACCCTTAAAAACCTCCACCCACCGAGTGGGAAGGGTGGCAGCAGATCTAGTAGGAGGCACGTAGGCTCCGGACCGAGGGACCCACGTTAAGGCATTACACTGTCACTCGGCCTTTGTGACTTGGTCAGTTTTCTCCCTGAGCCTCCTCTGTCTCGTAAGTAATAAAACAGAAAGGAGTATCTTACAAGACTACTGTGAAATTAAAAAAACACAGGGACAGCAAACCATCTCACAAGATAAGGCTCTCAGGACCTGCCAGGGAAGAGCCCAGCAACTAAACGAGGAACAATCTCATTTTACACATTTCAAACCATTAGGCTTGTGCTTTAAGGCAAAGAAGGTGATATTCAGCTGTCAGAACTACGATTAAATGAGAGAGACGGTCAGCAGCCACTTACCTTATTGAGCTGAAACAAGTCCAAGATCTTTCTCTCCACATGTGGGATTTTCAGAGTGCTTCCCTGTAACTCCCAGTACTTCGCAATCTGGTCCAGGAAATTCAATTTTACACGGGTTTGGGCCTAAATGACAAGGAATTGTGTTTAACACCTTATTTTAAAGCTCCTGCCCATTACCTATGCCTGTGGTGTTTTCATTCTTACAATATTTAAGTGCAATAGCACTTTTGAATTCAACGGAGAAACTTCGTGGAAGGGGTGCTTTGAGCACAAGGCTGTTACTGGTTAAAATTAGACGACAAGTGAGCTTCTGTAGGCTCCCTTCAGGCTTTTTACAACTTAGGTATTTTAAAGCCCTGTTCTCTGAAAGTACAAATTTTCTATCTGCTCAAACATAAATCTAAAACCAGACTAACAACAGCGATTCTACATAAATTTTATTAAATCTTGATAACCACAGAAAAGCAGGGAAACTTTCCTAAATGTTATTCCTTTAACAGATTATTACTGTTGTCTACAAGTCATTTAAAATTTTTGTCATTTTTCTTTCTCTTCCTTGTAAAATATTAGTCAGTTTTAGAAGTTTTAACTCACGTAAGACCCAAAGTGAGACAATGTTGAGACATTCCCACCACCTTCCAAGACCTCAAAATTAGCGCCTCTCCCCCACCTTCCAAGTTCAGCTTGGAAATACATACCCCAGATACGACCGCCACCAGCACCCACAGAGTCCCAGTGGACACAGGTTCCATTTAAGTTAAGAACGTTTGCTTAGTTTAGAAAAACTAACACAGTTTGGTTCAATATGGAAACCAGATTAGCAGCACAGTGACATACACAGCCTCCCACCCACGTCCCCAGCGCCCAAGCCGAGCCACCCTGTACCTCAGGGTTTTGGCAGCACCTCTCCCGAGACCCCCGCTCCCTCTAATGCTGGGAAATTAAAGTGCCATTAATCTGGAGGGAAGGGGTGTATTTGGAAGAAAATTAGAGCTGAAAAATCTCTTCCCCTATAGATGGTTCTCAAAGGACATTCCTTTCAAAACAAATTAGAGTGGTTGTCACCTAAATTTAGAAGAATGTGAATGAATGAAGAGGGCAACAAGTGACAAATATCCATGTTTTTAATGAAAATTGGTTTGCTGCACAGGCCTGATTGTATTTTCTTTACCATGAGTATCAGTAATTGGCAGTATTTTTAGCTTCACTAAAACCACTAGATTTGTGACGAAGCCTCTTCAAAGGCCCCTCTGCAACTCAGCACCGGAGCAGCGGAAGACATTACCTCCAACTCATTCAGCCTCTGGATCCGGGGGGTAAAATGAAGCTTGTCGACATCACATGCAAATGGTGGCTGCCAATCCTGGGGAGAGGTGAGGCTTTTATTAGAAGAATTTATAATTCTGACATTTAAAAAGTTGTTTTATATTAAAACCCTGGGTTACATAAATCACACAGTATGTCTAAACAAACAAAATAGAACACAAGGTAGTAATTTCTAAGATTTAAGTAACACATATGTGAAATACAATTTAAAAAACTCCTTTTGTATCAATTTAATGGTTTTAGTCCATAGGATGTACTAAAGATGCAAGAGGTAGATCGAGGCAAATCATAACTATAAATCCCTATTCATAAATTATAAAAAACAAGCAGAGTTACTACTTATGAGCCCCTCAATGGGATCCAATGGCCATGCACTGAGGGGTGTCATTTGTTAATTCAATGTCTTCCAAATAAAGGTAAAGTGCATTAGGTAAGGTTCTTACTTCCCTTGGAGAAGGCCTGGCACCGAGCAGCTTTAATTACCACCCAGGAGTTCAAAGTCTAAGATCTCCATCCTAGCCACTAGCAAAAACACTTATTTTGAGGACTTTCTTTTTAGACTGTGGACTAATACTTTTATGCCTTAAATCAAAGGGTCTTAAATTATATACAGACTTGACTATATGTTGATTTTTCTGGGAAGGTCCATAGCTTTCATAAGGGTCTCAAAGGCATTAAAAAAAAAAAAAAAAAAATTCCTGGGAGTAAATCCAGCTTTCATAAAAATTTTTACACCTCCAAGTTCTTATCTCACTGCCCCACCTCCTTTCCCATCCCTTCTCCTTGAACTTGAAACAGGACAGTGGATGGGACCCCGCTGCTGAGAACGTCAGGAGGCTACATGCAGCACAGAACAGAAAGAGCAATGCACATAGAGCCGGAAGACCTGGATTTGGAAAGTATACACCAAAGCCACAAGGTAAGCAGTGAAAAAAGCAGTTGCAGAGGAACCCAGAAGAATGGGCTGCCATCAAGTACCATTTTCTAAAACCCCAAACCCATACCCTACACCAATCCCTGACGCCAGCCTCCCACTGGAAAATCTGGTGGCTGTTCTCAATTTGTCCAAAATGCATCATAATACTGGATAAGAGCCTCTCTGGAAGAAGAAAAGGCTTGGAATAGCTGGAATTTTACAAACTGAAGGTTATATTCCAAAAATTCTCTTTATAGACCTCTCTCACCTACATCCCCTTGCCCTTGACCCACAAATAAGACACAAGAGTACAAATCCTAGGAGACCCTGCTCTCTCCCCTCCAAGTTAGATCTGGCAACACTGGATGGTACCATCTGGTTTAAATATTACCCAGTGATGAGATGGTACAATCACACAGAAACTTGGGAGGATCTTGCCTTAAAAACCTGGTAATTATGTGGTTTTGACAGGGAATTGTTCTTTGTTTCTGGAGTTACGAGATTAAATGTAATGTTTGGTATCCGTAGTCTGCAGTATGTATGCCTCACAGGAATATGTGCTTAATAAATGCTACAACCAAGTGTTCAGAACACACCAGGTTTTTAGACTTTAGTTTTCTGAACATTAATTACAATTTGGTCAAGCTCATGAGATGGCAAGAATTAGCACAGGAACGCACAAGGATCTGCCAACAGCCACACAAAAAGCACAGAGCCGGGAAGGGAAATCTTAGCTTAGCTGCACATTCACAGCTAAAATACTCCATATTTTAAGATTTAAAATGTGACTTACACACCACTGGAAGAGTGTTTTAATACAGCTAGAAAGCAGTATTAAGTAAATTGCTAGATTCAAAACAAAAAGAAAAACACACTCTGGAATTAATGGTATATACGGGCCCATCCAAGAGGCAGTGTCATGAGGTCCAATAACAGCAGGTGTATTTGAACAAAACACTGGGGAAGCCAGGTCTGCACGATTACACAGAAGTTCTGATTAGCTTTTTTTTAAAGTTTGCCTGATTGTTAGCAAAGGATAAACTATAATCTGGCCTGTGGACATCCACCCATCCCTTCTATCTCCTCCCGCTTCACGAGTAAAATAACTGTACAATATTTAAAACTCAACCCGTTCACCCTCCTGTCAGGCAAGAATTGGGATTATTTAAATTATGTTAGATGAGACATAATGCCCGCCTCTCACAGCCATCCCATAGCTCACCAAATACAAACTCCTGCCTGCATACACACTACAGAGCACACACCGCACATGAATCTGCAAATTTCCCAAAGTAATTTATAACTACTCTACCAGAAAACATTTATCCCCTAATTTTTAAAAATACCCAGACAGAGAAGAGCTTCACCTCAACCAATAGAGAAATTGCATCCCGTATAGTCTCGTTTTGACGCTGGGTGGGCTCTTCATCTCTCAAGTTTCTCTTTCTTAAATCCCTTCACTATAGGGAAAATGAGGGATGTGTATATTTGGCACAAACCCTGGTCTCACTAAATCCGTCCCCCGACTCTTCTTAGCAGTTAGCAAATAAGCTTTGGGATTCAAGTTCTTCGCAAGCCATCCATTAATTAACCTGGACAGCAGCCCTAGGTCGGTGTCAGATCCCCAATACAGCAGATGAGAAGAATGCTTCAGGGAAAAATAACTTGTCCAAGGTTAGGATGGAGTTAGAGTCAAGATCCCACCCACTTACCACTCTCTCCTTGATAAAGCTTATTTTTATCCCTGCAAAATAGTCCTTAAATTTTACATGTTGTAAAAAAAGATTGCCAAGTGAAACTAAATTCGACAAGTTCTAAAAGCATTCAGTATGTGACCTTCTGCCTGGCAGTGCCTGTGTTTAACTAGTCTTTCATCTGAGAAATGAAGTTATTATTTTGGGGGAAAGAGCCCTTAGATTTTAACGGGTTATTACAGAAAATATTTTCCAATGACCTGGTTTTTAAATCGCTCATTTGAACATGTGATACCACGTAAATGTTAAATGGCAATGCTGCTGGAGCAGAAACTGTGCCATCCAGGCTCAGAGCCAAATCGCCGTTTTTCACAGAAAGTGAACCTAACAACCTGACCAACGAGGGCCTTTCGAGTCCCGTTTTCGTGAAACTCCTTTTCCAGAGACTTCATTCTCTTTCTTGGTTACTCCTGACTCCCACCTGTGTTTTGCTGAGGTCAAGTCCTGCAGGTGGGAAAATAGAGAAATGGCAGCGAATGGAGAATGCCCTCCATCCGCCACCACCCAACTGCGTCAAGAGTTGGACTGAAGATGGTCAAGTTTCTACACAGGTTCCAGCAAATGTGTGTAACAAACCAACAAAGCCACTGACAGAAACTGAGAAATGCAATCCCCACCCTAACTGGACAAAGCAACCATCACTCACTGGAGGCTGCAAACACCGCCCCTAAGTAGCCAAACTCACTCCTACCCTGGGACAAAGGCCAAGCCAAGTTGTGGTCCTCAGGTGACCTGTTCACTCTCAGCCCAATGTTGCCCTGCGTCCTGCCGTCTCCTCTCCAGGAAAAGAGCTGAAGGGACTATACTCTTTACGGTTATGTGCACACTTGAGAATTTTCATAATAAAATTTAAATTTACACCTTGGAAGTGATGGCTCTGGCAGAGGAAAGCAACCAGTCTTTACATCCAGAAAGCAAGCTTAAATGATTGAAAAATAAATAAAACAGATGAACAGATGGGATGACTCTAGGCCAGGTCGGAAGGTGTATGGCAATGATGCTTTAAGAGGAATGGTCTAGAATGAAAGATCTGAATGTCAACAAAGACTTATAAGAATGCATTAAGTCAAACGTCGCACAAGTATGG